AAAATCCATTTATACCTATGCTTTCAAGTGTTTTAATAGGAATGAATGTGGTATTTTGTCAGAAGTTTTGATTTTTGTCACTTTTGTTATTGATATAATTAGTTGTTACTAGTTTTCCTTATACTGAACCAGCTCTGCACTTCTAGTATAAGTCCCACTTGGTCACATGTATAATCTTTGTGATATATTGTTGTAGTCTCCTAGCTAGTATTTTATTTAGAATTTTTGCATTAGTGAATTTGTGAATTTCATTAGTGAAATTGGTCTACATTTTTTTTTCTCTATTTTTGCTCTTCCTGGTTTAGGTATTAGCACCATATCTGTTTTATAAAAGGAATTTGGTAGCACTCCTTTGCCTACTATGCCAAATCATTTATTCAGTATTGGAATTAGTTATCTTTAAATGTTTGGTAGAATTCACTTATAAATCTATCTGGTCATGATGCTTTTTTTTAGGCAGTTTATTTATGGCCTGCTCAATTTCTTTTTCTAAAATAGGCTTATTTCTACATTCTATTTCCTTTTCTGTTAATCTGAGCAGTTCATATTTCTGTAAGTATTCTATTTCACTTAAATTGTTAAATTTATTGACATATAATTGGGCAAAATAACTCCTAACAATTGCTTTCATTTCACCTTCATCAGTGGTATATTCACCCTTTTCATTTTGATACTAGTGATTTGGTTTTCTTTTCTCTTTTAAAAAAATCATATTAACCAATGGTTTATCTATTTGATTGTTTTTTTTCATATAATCAACTCTACTTTTGTTTACTAATTCAATGGTTTTCTTTCCATTTTATTAATCTCACCTTTAATTTTCAGGGTTTCCAATTTGTTGTTTAATTATGGATTTTTAATTTATTTTTCCTCATAGTTCTAAAATTGCATATCCCATTCATAAATCTACTCTTTCTCTATTCTCATTCTCTTTAATAAAATTATTTATTGTTTCTATGGCTTGTTCTTTAACCCACTCATTCTTCAAGATTGGGCTATTTAGTCTCCAATTAATTTTTTTTAAGGCAGTTGGAGTTAAACGATTTGCCCAGGGTCACACAGCTAGTGTCAAGTTTTTGATCTGAGGCTGTATTTGAACCCAAGTCCTGTGCTCTATCCACTGGGCCACCTACCTCCAATTAATTTTTAATCTGTTTCCATGGTCCTTGGATTTTTGCATTAGTGAATTTGTGAATTTCATTAGTGAAATTGGTCCATAATTTTTTTCTCTATTTTTGCTCTTCCTGATTTACATAGTACTGTTATTTTCATTATATTGACAAACCTAGTCAAAAACACTGATTTTTCCAGCTATGTAAGTTCTTAATTTCTTTGAGGAGCAACTTGTAATTGAATCTATACAAGCTTTGTGTGCTTTGGTAGTTTGATCCCTAAATAGTTTATATATTTTGTAATTATTTGAGATGGAGTTTACCTTTTTATTATTACTTCTTGTGTTTTGTTATTATTATATAGAAATGTTACTGATTTTTGCAGATTTATTTTGTAGCCTACACTTTGCTAAAGCTATTACTTGTCTCATTTAGTACATATGCTGATTCTCTAGTTTTCTTCCCCAAGTATACCATCATATCATCAGCAAATAGGGATTTCTCTTCTTTTTACCTGTCTTGATGCCTTTGATTTCTTTCCCTTGTTTTGCTGTTGCTAGCATTTCTAGCCCTATTTACAATAATAGTGGAGAGTGGGCTTCCTTACCTCACTCCCACATTTATTGGGAAAAGGTTCTAGTGTATCCCTGTTGCACGATTTTTGGTTTGAGATAGATGCTGTTAATATTTTTTTTAAAGTCCCTCTATGCCTACGCTTTGTAAACTTTTTAGAATATTGTACTTTGTCAAAGGCTTTTTCTGTATCTATTGAGGTGATCGTGTGGTTTTAGATTTTTTAAAAATAAGATTATGTTGATTGTTTTCCTAATGTTGAAATAGATTTGCATCCCTGGTATAAATCCCACTTGGTTATAATGAATGATTTCTTGGGGGACATTGTTGTAATCTGACAGGATTTTGTTTAAAATTTATGTCAATATTCATTACTGATATTGGCCTATAGTTTTCCTTCTGTGTTTTCTCTCTCCCTGGTTTAGGTATTTGGACTATATTTGTCTCATAAAAGGATTCTGGTAGGGTGTTTTCTTTCTAACTTTTTGAGAATAATTTGTGAAATACGGATATTAATTATTCTTTTACAGTTTGATAGAATTCTCCTGTGAATCCGTCAGGACCAGTTTTTTTTTCTTTTGTAGTTCATTTACAGCTAGATCTCTTTCTTTTTCTGAGATTGTTTTAAAAAATATCTACTCTTCTGATACTTTCAGTATTTTATATACATATATATACATATATATGTATATATATATATATACATATATATATATACACATATATATACATATATATATGTATACATATATATATACACACACACATACATATATATATATATATATGTATACATATATATATACACACACACACACACACATATATATATATATATAATTATATATATGTGTGTGTGTGTGTATGTACGTATATGTATATTTTAGGCAATGGGGCTAAGTGACTTGCCCAGGGTCATTTAGCTAATAAATGTTAGGTCTGAGGCCGCATTTGAACTCAGGTCCTTTTGACTTCAGGGATGATGCTCTATCCACAGCACCACCTAGCTGCCCCCAGTATTTTATATTTTAAAGTTACTCTATTACTTTTTGTGTTTTCAGCTTTGCGAGTATATCTAACTGTACGTGTTCTGATTCTTCTATTTCTTCTGTTTTTGCTGATTTCATTTTGCTCATTTGCTCTTACATTAATTTGATTTTCTACTCTCCTTTGTGACCAGATTAGATAAGGGTTTATCAATCTTGTTTCAAAAAAATCAGCTTTTAATTTTATTTCTATAGTCCCCCCCAATTTATTAATTTTCTCTCTAATTTTTGTTATTTTCTCTTTTGTGCTTATTTTAGGTTTGTTTACTTATTGGTTTTCTCATTTTAAAAAATGAATATTTATTAATCCTCTCTTTTTCTGTTTTATTTATGTACATTTGTAGGACTGGGGACTACTTTAGCTGCAACCCAGGAATTTTGGTATATTGTTTCATCATTATAATTTTCTTTTATATAGTTATTGTTGCTACAATTTGTCCTTTGATCCACTCATTATGAGATTTAATTATTAAGTCTCCATTTGTTTTTGCTGTGTTACGGCCTGTAAAGGGTGTATTACATCTTTCTGTCTTTATACATTTGTTTGCTATATCTCTGTGCCCTAGCATGGCCAATTTTTGTAAAACTTCCATGTGGTGCTGAGCAATACTTGTATATTCTTTTGCCATCCCATTTAGAGGATGCCTTATGTCTTTTCACTTGTTTCCAGCAATGTGTTCAGTGCCATAGTTTCCCTTTTGTTTATCTTTCTGTTTTGGAGAGGTTTGAGAGGTCATGTGGATTGAAGAAAATGTCTAGACCTCCATCTTGTTGCTCCTGTGAGCACATGCAGGTTCTTAATAAATGTGTAAAGCCTCTGTGAAACCACCATATTCTGGCTTTCTTCCTGCATGTCTATTCCTTTTCCTTTAGCCCCAATTAGAAATTTTTATACCTAGGACAAACACAAACCATGCCCTCAGGCAAGATAGAATGTAAGGCACCCAAAGCATGATGTGCGATAAGGCAGACACAACCAAATGGTGAGGGGAGGCAAAGACTCCAGGCCACTGATGTGAAAACTCCTCCTCTTCCCCCAACTTGAGTCACTTGGTAGTTTCCTATGTAATCATTCTTGTTGTTCAGTTGTTTCAATTGTGTCTGACTTTGTGACCCCATTTAGGGTTTTCTTGACAAAAACACTAGAAAGTTTGCTATTTCCGTCACCAGCTCAATTTTAGAGAGGAAACTGAGGCAAACAGCATTAAGTGACTTGCCCAGGGTCACCCAGTTAGTGTTTGAGGTCAGATTCGAATTCAGAGAGATGAGTCTTCCTGACTTCATGCCTACAACTCTATCCATTGCATCCATTGCCTAATCATTCTTCCTAAGTGCCAAATACAGTTTTTTTGTTTCTTCACAATTGCCATTTAAGAAGCCTGATTACTGAGGGCTAGGGTGAAGTGATGACCCTTAAAGAAAATAAAGGATTTTGAGAACACTGTTAAAAGCAGGAATAAAAACCTAGTATCTCCTTTATTTTGTGGAGAAGAAAAGTGGATCACTGAAAAGAGTTAAAAGAGAAATCAGATCTCAGATTCAAAGACTTAGAGCTGGCTGGAACCTTAGCAATCTCTTTGTCTACCCTCTCCATTTTACAGAGGTGGAAAAGGCTCAGATTTGCATCAGAGCATGGATTATAACCCAGGTCCATTTGACTCATAGGCCAGCTGGCTATTATTACTGAGACATGGCCTTTCCCTTTGGTTTGTGCCCACAGCAACTCAGGGTTTAAATTCCAATCTGTAGGCATTCATTGAGGCTGTCCACAAAACCATATTCCCTTTTTAAATTATGTCATGGAAATGTGCTTATGGGTTTGTTCTATCATATTTGCTGGTCTGTTATTCCAAGATAGGCATAATGCTGTCATATAATTCTAGGAAAATTTTTAGGCTCATAAATCTTTGTAATGAATTAGGATCAGGCTTGAAGGCAAGGATCTTGAAAATCTAATTCTAAGGTCCAATACTTATTTTAGCCAGTAAACTTACATGCTATCATTTTTGGACAGTAGTATTCACTCATGTCCAAAGTAAATGTGGCTTTACCATAAATTCTAAAATTGAACATTACAGTATAAATTTGTAAATTTTCTATTAACTACATAATTGCAGTAACATGCTATAGTTTGAGACTATGAACATTAAAAGCATATAATATCTTATGCAAAACAATCTCTCCCCGCGCCCCCTCCCCCCCATATTAGGCTGTCTGCTAAGGTAACTCTCATGCACAGTACAAAAGCAGTAATTTGAAAAATAAGAAGAATGTTTACATGTACATAATTTTAATGAACAATTTTACAGATTTCCTTATGTAAAGGATTTGGGTTCATTTTCTTGGAAGCTCCAAAAGAGACTAAAGAATATAGCTGATGGTGTATCATCATTTGACTTCATGTAAGAACAGCATGTTTCATCAAACCTAGGATTTCTAAAAAGTACACAAAAACCTGTACATAAAAGAAAAAACCCAAAGACAACCATAATGCATAATATTTGAAATGTGCAAATATTTTAAAGTTGTTCTAAAGCATTTCTAAGGTAGAGAACTTTATAATAATCATGGAATGTACTGCATTCTATATAATTCAATGATCTTTTTAAAAATTACAGCCAAAGAAACTTACAAGGCACACTCAATGCTGATGCTAGTGTTGTATCTTACAGTCTTTAAAATCCATACTTAGATGGTTATTAGAAATAACCAAATGTTGCTTTTATAATTAATAATTTGATGACATCAGCCTAGTTGCAAAATTTTGATTAAATATCACACTGATATGTATAAAATGGGGGTACGGCCTAAATGACCAGAGCTCTACTACTCTAATATCACTGGAAAGAAAATTATACACATAAATGTATAATTTTATATATGTGCATATATATAACACACATGTACATATGTGTGTATGTATGTAATCTATATGTATATTTACTGATGTCATCACTTACAAATGAAAGGCTGACCACTCTATTACCTTAAAGCTTCCCATAACAGTATTTCATGACATGGTATTCCAAAATTACAAATATATTTAAAATCTGTTTTGGTCAATTCTTTCTATAAAAAAGATACTGGGATAGAGAAGATTCTTCTCCAGGGTAAGACGATGTCAAGTCTATAAGTTTTCCAAGATTGCACAGTGAAAGGTTCCTATCAACTAGTAAAGTTAAAAACAAAAGCTTAATGCTTTTTTAAGGCAATATTTAAATACACACAGAGAAAAAACCCAGTACGAAACTCATCAGTGTTCAATATGAGTACTGGTCATCACATAATTAAAAATCTTCTAAATCCAATCATAGTGTTCCTTGCTTTTTACAGTGATCTCTCCACCAAATTTTAATTTTTTTAACAGTAATTTTTCTAGGATAATCAATTGACTTAGACAACAAAAATGATGTTGAAGATGATCTCTTCTCCAAAGCACATGCCACAGTTCATTTTACGTCAATTCTATGTGACTGTATTTTATGCCAGGTACAAAAAAAAAAAAGTAATATTCATTACTGCTTTTCATGTAAGAACTCTAATATCTACCACTCAGTATTTTTGTTTTTTGTTAAACAGGAGATACTTAATACAAATTGGAAGAAAAATAACATAAAGCTAAAGGAACTTTCAAAAGAGATCTTCATTTTCCTGGGGAGAAGGAAAAAAAAATTTTTTTGAAAAATCCACAAATATTTGAATGCCATCCCCAAAGAGGCAAGAGTGTCTAAGAAAGAAAAAGTATAGCCAATAGTCTCCCGGCTGTCTTTGGTTTAGCCTTCTTGACCAAAATCTTCTGTAAACTTCTTTAATTTTAGCAAGTCATGTTCATTAACAGTTGGTTTTATGCTAGCTAATGACCGTAACATATCAGGCTGTTGAGAGAAAAAAGGAAAAGCATCACTAAGCTGAATAAGATGAACCACAGTATTTTTATTAACCAAGTAATTTACTAAAACTTTAGGAGTCAAAATTATAGTTTATCTACCAATGTTATATACTTGAATGAAAAAACCAATATGCTCAAATGATCAAGATATTTTTCAATGCACTTCCCTCTGGGAAGAAAATACCAAACAGTAAGAGAACAAACATCGCAGATTTTATTTAAAAAAAAAACCTCCTAGGATATTATCTGCAGTTGTTATTAACACTACATTCTAGAGCTAGACAAATTTCCTGTATTTCCTAAATCTACAATAGTAAGAAATGAACTTCATAATGATAACCCCAAGTAACTATCATTCAAAGACAGAGATGTTCTAATTTCCTTGAGATCAAGAACTATGTCCTACTGACCTTTTTATCCTGCACAATATCTTGTATAACCTAGCAGGCACTTTAAAAATATTTGTTAAATGAAGGAAATTGTGTTTAGAACATTCTACTTAAGGCCACAAAGGGCACTAATATATTTTGTAAAGACTGTCAATTAACAAGGGTGGTAACAAAAAGGAATTAATTTTTGACCCTAAGATTTAATACTCCATTACTAGACATTCCATTTAATTGAGTTTTTGGCATTGATTTTTTATATATTCCTCCACAAATTAAACAAAGGAACTCTTTTCCCTGAACAAAGGTATCACAAATATAGTTATAACCACATGTGTGGATAGTTCCATAAACACTGTTTTCTTTGGAAAGGACCTGTAATTTTATCAGAATATGATACTCCCAGTGATAAAATTCCTTTGCCAAAGCAGATCAATACTTGCTTTTCAACTTAAAGTGCACAATGCCTCTCTTCCATGAATGTAGCAAGTAACTAATGTCAAATCAGCTAATATCCATTACTAGACTGAGGTCCTTGAGAGAAGAGACTGTGGCATATCCTTAAAAAAAAAGAAAAGAAAATCCACCACATTTCCAAATACATAGTAGCTACTCAACAGATAGTTTGTTGACCGTTATTATGATCAAGTTGATTAACAAAAGTCCTGCTCATATTTCAACTATAAAGGGTTATCCTTTATAATTTATTAAAGTAAAATCCTGAGAGGCAGCATGACATAGTGGTCAGAAGAAGGTTGTTGTTAGACTCAGGAAGGCTCTGGGGCATCCTGGCCATGGCCCTGGACAAGTCATTGAACCTCTTAGCAGTGTCTCCAACAATACCCCAAAACTAAAACTTTCAGAGATGGTGCCCATTTGTATTGATAGAGGAAGTTCCTCACCATGAGCTGCCTGTACCAACAAAATCATGGATCTGTTTAAGAAAAATGCCCACCCCTCCCCCAAAAATAAAGGTTCACTGAGAAATATGAAGCAAATGGTAATGAAGACAGACTCTGGGGGTCCAGATCTGTGATTTGATCCACGTAGACAACATGGTCTACAGCCACAGTAAATTTCTGCTGATCTGAAACACAACTTAACTGTAACTCGCAGTGACTTGCCCATGGTCAATTATTTATATGTCAGAGACAGAACCTGAACCCAGGTCTTCACTCCAAGGCCAGTCCTGTTATCCACTATGCTTCCTGCCCCCACTTTTGTCTTTAAAAATTATTTAAATTCAACAAATATCAAGCATTTACTGTGTGCAAAGCATTGTGATGGGTGAAAAGAGAGAAAGAGTGTTTAATTAAGAACTAGCAAATGCTCCTGTGGAGCTTACAATCTAGTAGAGAACTGCAGATTAAAAGATACTGTGGGCAATGATGTTCAAAAACAAATATCCCTTATATAACAAAAAAGGTAACAAATATATGGTCTACAGGCCACATGCAGCCCAAAACACTCCCAAGCAAGCCAAACCAGTTTAAAATTTAACTGGGGAATGCTGACCAAAATAAATAAAAATACAATAAAACATAGATAATATTAATATGCGCTTTTTAAGTCAGTATGTGGCCCACAGGGATCCTTATATATGGTTTAGTGGCCCCTGTTACTATTTGAGTTTGACACCATTGCCTTACATTGTAATGTTCAAGAAGTGATTGCAAATAAGAGTAACATAGTTTAAAGACCACATTTAATTATACATTCAGCCATAGCCAACATAACAAAATCCCATTATGCCAAATGTTCAATTACACTTTAAATCATGTCTTTCTTTAGGGCATTTTCACACATACTAAACTGAAACTGCCATCATAATAACTTTTACTATAGCCTTCACGGTCCTGTTGACCAGAACACTCTTAGTTTTATAAAAAATTGTGTCTTAATATCAAGAAAGTTACCAATTCATTTCATGAAGATTGTTCTCTGACAGAATTCTGACTATAGATAGATAGGTGCAGAGTTTGCAGTTTTTACAATTCTGCTTCTGACTTTGGCCTTGGTTAAAAAAGAGCCATCTCATTTCCAAGTATTTATATTTCAGTCATTTTTAAGAAGTGCTATAAAATTATACTATGGAATTTAATCTCATTTTCTCCCATGATGGCTTAAATGGCAGTCTTACCTTATGACTGTTATATACTATGAAAATTTAAGTTTGAAAATCTGAGTTGAAATGGTAAAAACACACAGCTTACTTTATTCTAATTGACAGCTATTTCTAATAACAACAGAATTCATCTGGAAGAACAAAAGGTAAAGAATATCAAGGGAATCCAAGAAAAAAATTGTGAAGGAAGGTAGCTTAGCAGTACCAGATATCAAAATTTATTACAAAGTAGTAATCATCAAAACATTCTGGTACTGCCTAAGAAATAAGATGAAGGTGGAAATAAGATAAGGTGGATTAGTGGAATAAATTAGGTACACAATACTAAATGACCATAGTAATCTACTGTTCAACAAACCCAAAGATTCAAGATTTTGGAACAAAAACTCACTATCTGACAAAAATTGCTGGGAATACTGGAAAGCAGTTTGATAGAAACTACATATATACCAACATCGCACACCATATACTGAGATAGGGTCAAAATAAGTACATTATTTAGACATAAAGAGTGATATCATCAAGTTAGGGAAGCATGGAATATTTTACCTGTCAGATTTATGGATAAGGTTAGAATTTATGACCCAGAGATGGAGAGCATTACAGGATATAAAATAGATAATTCTGATTACATCAAATTAAAAAACTTTTGCCAAACAAAATCTACGCAACCAAGATTAGAAGGAAAGCAGAAAAAATGGGAAAAATTTTTTACAGCAAGTTTCTCTGATAAAGGCCTCATTTCTCAAATATACAGTGTACTGAGTCAAATTTATGAGAATATGAGTCACAGCCCAATTGACAAATGGTTGAAGGGATATGAACAGGTAGTTTTCAGAAGAACTCAAAGCTATCTAGTCATATGAAAAAATGATCTAAATCACTATTGACTGGAGAAATGCAAATTAAAACAACTCTGAGATACCACTTCACAGGTATCAGATTGGCTAAGATGACAGAAAAGGAAAATAATAAATGTTGGAGGGGATGTGGAAAAATACACTACTGGTAGAGTTATGAACTGATCCAACTGTTCTTAGAGCAATCTGGAACTATGCCCAAAGGGCTATAAAACCGTGCATACCCTTTGACTCAGCAATACCACTACTAGGTCTGTATCCCAAAGAGATTAAAAAAAGGAGGGGGGAGAGGGCAGGGAGGACCTATATGTACAAAAATATTTATAGCAGTTCTTTTTGTGGTGGCAAAAACCTCGAAATTGAGGGGATGCCCATCAATTACGGAACAGCTGAACAAGTTGTGGTGTGGATGGAATACTATTGTGCTATAAGAAATAATGAGCAGGGTGCTTTCAGAAAAACCTGGGAAGACAAATGAAGTGAGCAAAACCAGGAGAATAATATACACAGTAATAGCAATACTGTACAATGATCAACTGTGAATGACTTAGCTATTCTGAGCAATACAATGACCTAAGACAATTCTAAAGGACTCTTGATGAAAAGTGTTATCCATATCCAGAGAAAGAACTGATGGAGTCTGAAAGCAGATTGAAGCATACTTTTAAAACTTTATTATTCTTGGTTTTTTGGTCTGTGTTTTCTTTTGCAACACAGCTAATGTGGAAATGTTTTGCATGACTGCATATGTATACTCTATATCAAATTGCTCAAGGGGGAAGGGAGAAAAGGAAGGGAGTGAGAGAATTCAGAACTCAAAATTTTAAAAAACAAATGTTAAAAAATAACTTTTACCCTAATACAAATTTCTTTTAATGCTTTATCTAAACATATGCAGATGGAAATAGCTGTACATCTCCACAAACATATAAATAAACTATGATGTGTAGATTATATTCTGAATATTAATTCTCAGTAAATATTAGTGTTTTACTTAAGCAAATTAAAAACTATAATCTCCAAGAACCACATACAGGACTTCTGTTAATTTAATAACTATTCCTTGTTTTATCAATCATAGGATCATCACAGAATCATAGATTTAGAGCTCGAAGACACTTGAGATGTCATTTACTCTAATCCTCTTTCATTTAACAGATGTGCAAAGAGTAGCTCAGAAACATAAAGTGCCTTCATCAACAAAGGTAATAAGTAGTAGAGTCTGGTTTCAAATTCAGATTCCATGACTCCAAATGGAGGCCTCTCAATCAACATAACTAGTAGTGTCAGAAGTGGGATGTGAACTCAGCTGTCTTTCTGACTCCCACTCCAGCACTCCATTACACCATGTTGCCTCTAATTCTGAAATATAACTCACAAAATACTTAAAACAGGGGCAGTTCGGTGGCACAGTGGATAGAGCACCGGCCCTGAAGTCAGAAGGATCTGAGTTCATATCCGGCCTCTGACTAAAACACTTGACACTTACTAGCTGTGTGACCCTGGGCAAGTCACTTAACCCCAATTGCCTAAAAAATAAAAAAATTTAAAAAAAAGGAACAAAATACTTAAAACAGTTCTCAAATTTATGAACATGTAATAACTAAACTTTTTTTTAAAAAGACAAAATAAAAATTCAAACCATGGAAACAGTTGGCTCCAAAAGTTTATCCCCAGAGACATCCACCCATGTCATTTCAATGGCATCAGGATCACCCGGAGAGCACGGAGTAAGTAAATCTTCTACTATGACATTAGGATTAGTGGGTGAAGGACCCCTAACCTAGAAAAGATAACAATATGGATTCTTTTAGTTAAATGAAAAATAAATGAAACTTCAGATTAGAGCTATAAAAGTTAAGAATACGAAGAAAATACTTTGTCTGTGAAAAATAAGTAAAATTTATCATTACGAATCATTAAACTATTTGCCTCTTAGATGGCTAAAGGCTATGGAGCCTGGTTCCACTGATGCAACTGTCCTTCAATGATGCAGATGGCAATACATCTACAGCTTCTCATCCTCAGTGATTCTTGTCCATGTTACCCAATAAATCCTCCACAGAAACCCTATCCAATGTTCTGTAATTCTGTCCCCCTGACGAGGATACTGAGGAACTGCATATATATATAGATGCATAGCCTGTCTCATATACTCTAGAGAACAAGACTATAAATTCTCTTCTAGATTTGCCCCATTACAAATTTTGAGCAGGATCAAGCTGGCATTACATCCTACCAGTTCCAATCCTAATGTAAAGGTCAGTTCAAGGCAAGTGGTAGCACTGAACTCAAAATTAGATTGAATCATAGGTCACAGGGCTAGAAGAGGTCTAGAAGATTATCTCATTCAACATCTTCATTTTATAGGTGAAGAAAGTGAGATCCGGAGAGGGAAAGTGGCTTGTCCAAAGTCAGACAAGCTCTAAGGAGCAGGGTCAGCATTTAATATAAAGTGCCAGAACATAGGATGACCTTGATAATCTAGAAAGTTCTCTGAATCCCAAAATTTGTCTATAGTGCCAGTGAAGGCAAGATCCAATTCCAATGGCCCACGTGCCCAAAGAGGCCTTGGGTTTTGAGCTTGTTATTGTTTTAAATATAGAAGCTAAACAAAAATCTAGCAACAGTTTTAATCTTATGCTGTCAATTTAAAAGGAATTGTCAGATCCTAAAAATAGCTGATAATTCAAACTAGAAACACTTTTAGGTTTTTTTGTACTTCATTTATACAGATGAAATTTTACTAAATTTTACCTTAGGCCTTCACACTGGAACAAATGTATCAATGTTAATTATAAACACTGTGATTATTTAAAAAGTAATTTCATAAAGAATAAAATTAATTTTTAGAAATATGTAGCCATTAAAAAATTCCTAAATAATACTGTTATCAAAAATGGTCTTAAATAGATTACAGGTCTGACCATGCCATGTACCCTACTCAGTAAACTCCAGTGATTCTCTGTCATCTCTAGGATCAAATATAATAATCAAATTAACTGTTTTATAATTTATAATAGATAATTTATATATATGATAAATGTATATAAATTATGGCATATAATTTATAATATAATAATAAATAAAAATACTTGGGACTATACCTGTCAAGACAAACCTGTGTTTGGCATTCAAAGTCCTTCAAAATCTGGCTCTCTCTACCCCCACTTCTTTCCAGTCTTTCTTATACCTTATATACTTTCACATTTTCTACTATCCAATGACACTGGCCTCCTTGGTTGTTCCTTAAACAAGACCCTCCATCTCCCAACTCTGGGCATTTTCATTAGCTATTTATTCCTAATGCCTGGAATGCTCTTCTTCCTCATTTCCATTTGCTGGCTTCCCTCCAGCCCCAGCTAAAATCACCTTCTATAGGAAGCTTTTCCCAATCTCCACTACTTCTAGTGTCTGTTATTTCCAATTTATCCTGTATATGACTTGTTTGTACTACTTTTTTGCACGCTATCTCCCCCACTAGACTGAAAGTTCCTTGAGAGCAGACTGTCTTTAACCTTTCTTTTATCCCCAAGCATGTAGCACAGTGCCTGGCACATTGTAGATGTGCTAGGAACAAATGTTTACCAGCCGTTTGGATCCAACTTATTTTCTATGAGTGTGAAAGTTACTTGCATTAAGGAAATTGCATTTTAAAGCATTTAATCCAAAGTGAAAAAACAAACAAACAAACCCAGGACAGCAAAAAGTTCATGATACTATCATATAAACCATGAGACACAGATACCCAGCTATGAAATATACTGAAACCATGTTCTAGACATCGTAAAGTACCTGGGAGTATACCTGTCAAGACAAACCCAGGAACTATATGAACCATGTAATTATGAAACACTTTTTATACAAATAAAGTCAGAGCTAAATAATTGGAGAAATATGAATTGTTCATGGGAAGGCCAAGCCAATATGATAAAAATGACAAATCTCCCCAAACTAATCAACTTATTCACTGTCATCCCAATTAAATTACCCAAAAATATTCTGAGGTAGAAAAAATAATAGCAAAATTAATTTAGAGGAACAAAAGGTCAAGAATATTAAAGGAATTAATGAAAAAAAGGAAAGAAAAGTAAATTATATTATGAGGTAATAATTATCAAAACTATCTGGTACTAGCTAAGAAACAGAATGGTGGTTCAGTGTAATAGGATAGATATACATAGTAAATGAGTATAGTAACTTTGTGCTTGATGAATGTAAAAATTTAAACTTTCAGGATAATTCACTATCTGGCAAAAATTGTTGGGAAAACTGGAAAGCAGTCTGGCAGAAACTATTGGTACAGACCAATATTTTATACTATTTACCAAGATAAGGTCAAAATGGATACATGACCTAGACATAAAGAGATCAAAGTAAATTAAAAGAACATGGAATATATTACCTATCACACTAATGGATAGGAGAAGAATTTATGAATAAACAAGAGACAGAGAATACTGAAAGATATAAAATGGATATTTTGACTATATTAAATTAAAAAGATTTTATACAAATAAAACCAATGTAGCCAAGATTAGAAGGAAAGTAGAAAACTGGGAAAAAATTTTAGAAAGTTTCTCAGATAAAGGTCTCATATCTCAACTATATAGAGAACTTTGTCAAATTTGTAAGAATGGGTCATTTCCTAATTGATAAATGGTGAAAGGATATGAACAGTTTTTGGAAGAAAAAAAACAAAGCTATACAGTCATACAAAAAAAAATGGTCTAAACCACTATTGATTAAAGAAATGCAAATTAAAACAACTTTGAGATATCATCTCAAACCTGTCAGATTGGCTAAAATGATGGGAGGTGAAAATGACAAATGTTGGAGGGCATGTGGAAAAATTGAGACACTAATACATTGTTAATGGAACTGTGAACTGATCCAACCATTTTGGAAAACAATCTGAAATTATGCCCAGATACCACTATTAGGTCTGTTTCCCAAGGTGATCAGAAAAAGAAGAAAAGAACCTATAGGTTCTAAAATATTCACAGCAACATTCTTTGAGGTGGCAAAGAACTGGAAAATGAGAGGATACCCATCAATTGGGGAATGGCTGATTAAGTTGTAGTATATGATTGTAATGGGATATTACTGTGTTGTAAGAAATGATTTAGAAAAACATAGAAAGATTTGCACAAAACAACAAAGAGTGAAATAAGTAGAACCAAGAGAATGTTGTATAAAGTAACAGCAATATTATTTGAAGAATAACTGTGAATGACTAAGTTATTCTGAGTATTATAAATACAGAATCAAGTACAAATGACCTATAAAGGAAGATACTATCTACCTCCAGAGAAAGAATTGAGATATGCGTGTGTACGTACGTACGTATGTATATATATGCATGAAACGCTGGCCTTTTCTAGTGCAGGGTAGGGAGGGAGACAGTTTGGAACTTAAAACATACCATGAAAAAAAAAAGAAAAAAGAAACCATGTTCTAACAGCTACAGTGCTCCATTTGACTTACTCTTTTGAAATGAGTAGCTGACTGAACTTTCCTCACAGGCTGCATCAGTGCATCTCGTACAATGATACTGATGTCAGCCCCTGAATAGCCATCTGTCTTCTTCCCCAGTTCTCGGAAGTCTGCTTCTGATAGGCTGTTGTGTGTGGTCCCCAAATGTAATTTAAACATTGCTGCCCTGGCATGATCTTCAGGTAAAGGAATATAAATACGTTTCTCAAATCTGAAAAATATGAGAAGGAACATAAAATATACTTACAAAAAAAATCCAGAAAATAAGAGCTAGGCAGGTGATAATCTTAATTACATATGTAAAGTTTGGCTAAATAAATTTTTTAATATGCTGAATCTGGCAGTTAGGTCTTGCATTTGACTATTTCATTTTTCTTTGCAGAAAATGTCCATGAAACACCTTTTTAAAAGGATAGTCAAGTTAATCATCTGATATCCAAAAAGCCCCCAGTTTGTTTTTTCTTTGTTATTTTTTTTTTTTGGTGAGGCAATCGGGATTAAGTAACTTGCTTAGGGTCACACAGCTAGTCAGTATCATGTGTCTGAGGCCAGATTTGAACTCGGGTCCTCCTGACTCCAGGGCCGGTGCTCTATCCACTGTACCACCTAGCTGTTCCAAAAGTCCCCAGTTTTCACCATGATATGTCATAAAAACAGTTCACCTTTTCTCCTATAAATGATCTATGTCATAAGAGCAAAGTCAAACTACCATTCAAAACAGTAAAAACAAATTCCAAATGTGAACAGATGGATATGAAGATACTGTACAGACAGAATATGCAAGGTGCTTCAAAAAGAAACCAGCTATCTTCCCCCCAGACCTTTGTTTTAAGAAATATTAACAATGCTACTAATGTAAATTTGACAACTTCCCTGCAACTTAAAGTTTAGGGAGCTGCTTGGGGTAGGAAGAGGGTAGGTAATTTGTCCAGGGTCACTCAAGCAGAATGTGGGAGAGCTGGGACTTGCAGGGATACAACACAAATAAAAGCCACTACATGTTTATGAATTTAATTTAACACTAGTGCCAGCTGCAAAAAAATCTGTAAACCTTAAAGTACCACGTAAAGATGAGCTTTATTTGCCTATGTATAAATGAGAAGGGTTTGGGGGATGACTCGGTGGTTCAGGATTATTTTTTGAAAGTTGTGAAGTTCAAAATCATTCCACTGATCTTAAGTGTTCATTCAGAATTAGACTGTGCTTTTCAAATACATCCTATATTTATCCACTCTTGCCAGGTTTCCTGCTGAATGAATTAGATGAATGCAAAGAAAACACAGATTTATATTAGGCAATGTAGAATATCATCAAGTGAACAAGAAAGTGGCATACTATATATTTTCCTCCCACACCTGAAGACTCATGGTTCAATCTGAAAGTTAGAGAAATAACCTTTTTTTTCCTATTTGGAAACTAACCCAGTTTGCCTTTTACCGTACTTGTGAAAAAAAAAATATATACATACACACACACACACACACACACACACACACACACACACACACACACACACACACACACACACACACACATATACATACATATATTTAAAAAGAATATTCTAGAAAAGTCCATGACAGAAAATAAAATGCCAATTAAGGTGCATTGGTAAAACTCTAGTCTATGGCATATGTACCTGGTCAGTCAGTCAATGAACATTTATTAAGCACTTACTATATGATAGACACTGTGCTAACTAAGCATTAGGGATTCAAAGAAAAGTAAAACCACATTTTACTAAACTTAATTAATAACACTATTTGGTGAACATTAAGCAATGAAAATTTCCAGTACATGAAAACTCAGATGAGCATGCAAGAACTGTAGCCCTGCAAAACATAATTAATATTCTGTCTCTCATTACAAAAAAAGGGATATTATTATGTAGTGGCTGAATCTTTAGTGAAAAGCAGGATGGTTACAATACCTTCGCCTGATAGCAGAATCCAGAACCCAGGGTATATTTGTAGCTCCCAGTACCAAAATTCCATCATTGTCCACACCAACCCCTGCACCAAAATAAAGATTATATTCAATAACTTCTTATCTTGCTGTTCTTCTAAATCATACCTACATGTATGCAATATGTCATGCCTAGAAAATAGTACTTTGCAGATGATTTATGTTATGTCAACTTTCTTTTCTTTAAAACTATTCCCTGACTGGTTTAATTGCTGAAAATGAAATTGTTTTTAATAGAACATATCTATATTACTAAAATAGTTGTACAAATAGCCTCTTAACTTGAATCTTTCAGCAAGCTGTGGACAATTTGACATTTATAATATATACTTTACAACAAAATAAATACATATTGTGAAATATTTTATCTCTTACTCACCATGCTCACAGTATGTCACAAACTGATTAATCATCTTGCTACTGAGTTATTTGAATAAGTAATCCTACCTTGCATTTGAACTAGAAATTCTGTTTTAATTCGCCGGGCAGCTTCACTTTCATTTTCACTTCTAGAGCCACATAGAGAATCAATTTCATCAATGAAGATAATAGAAGGCTTGTTCTCTCTGGCGAGCTGAAATAAATTCTTAACTAGCCTGAAAATAAACAAATATTTTCAATTCAATTTTATAATTTTACTTAAGAGATATTAATGGAAATAATGCTAAAAACATACAATAATGGGAAATTGAACTCCTTATTTTAAAGAGAAATTATTTTTAAGTTTATAAAACTTTTTGAAGAAAAGGCACAAGAAACATAAACATCTCCAAGAAAGGATGAGTGAGTTTTTAACATGCCAGACATTTCACTTTCTAATTTAGTAAGATAGGCACTAATTTGGTATTTGATATCTGTTCTTTGGGGGAAAGTAAGGAGGGGCAAGAAAAAAACAACATAATGTTTTACACGCAAGAAAAATAAAGAACATAGGTTGATAGATTAAAGAGACAGAAGGGACAATCCTAAAAAATAAGCAACACTACAGAGGTAGCTGGTGGCCCACTTGTTAAACAGTGCGGAGCCTGGAGTCAGGAAGATTTGAGTTCAAAGTCTCAAACACTTAATTAGCTGTGTGACCCCAGGAAAGTCACTTAATCTGTTTGTTTCAGGTTTCTCAACTATCAGATAGGAATAATAATAGCACCCACCTCCCAGGGCTGTTGCGAGGATCAAATAAGATAATATTTGTAAAAAAACCTTTAGCACCTGACACACTGTAGGCACTATATAAATGCTCATTCCTTTCCCTTCCATTCTCTTCAATGATTTGTTAAGATGTTCTAAAAAGTTTATTTGACAACAAAAATATCTCCATTATTTCATCTCTCTGAATATCTATTACTGATCAAAGATCAAGTACTCTCCTCATAACTGACTTTGTTTTTTAATGTGAGGGTGGATGGGTCTTAAACTGTGAGTTCATGGCATAGGGAATTTGAGGGGCAAGACTCCCTCCAACAATGTAGACTGGCAACTCATCTCTAATTCATAGTCTCAGAAAGTTGCTTAGGGCACTAAGTTGTTAAGTGACTTGCTCAGGGTCACACAGCTAAGATGTGCCAGAAACAAGACTTGAATCCATGTCTTCCTGACTTCAAGGCAAGTCGTCTGCTCATCATACCATGTTGCCTCTCTGACATTCATTCATTCAACATGCATTTAAAAGTACCCAGGTGCCAGGCACTAGGGATACAAAAGACAAAAATGAAAGAGTGCCTGACTTTAAAATAATTATAGGAGCTATATAAATACTAATCACAAAACTTTCATTTTTTTCTATTTTTTTTTCCTATGGTGACAAAGGAACAACTACGGATAATGGTATAAGCAATAATATAAAACATTTTACAAAACTGACAAGGAAAAATATTGTTGTCCCCAGTAGTATTCTGTCCAAACAAGATCTGCTAGTTAATTTGACCTAGTGCTATAATAGTATTATGCAAACAAAGCCTATCTAATAGAAAAATACTGGGGTTTTTGTCTGTTTTATATAAAGTAAGTCTTGATACTTGTGGTTAAGGACAAAGTGTAACAATATGCTACAAAGAGTTTTTGTTAACATTTTGCCTTTTGAAGGAAAAAAAGGATTATTCAAATTCTCATAATGTTCATAGCATTATAGATTTTTGGAAGGTATATAATCTAGTCCAATCTCTTCTCTTTACAAATGAAGAAACTGAAACCCAAAGAAGTTAAATGATTTGTCCCAGGTCACAGAGGTCACAGGTGGTTAGAGCTGGCATTTGAAATCAGGCCATCTGATTCCAAATCACGTACTACTTTTGATGTAGATGTGTCACATAATAAAATAAGGAGACAAAAACAATCTTTGGTGTTACTATAAATACATTATTTAGAAAAATCCTAATCTCTACAATTCTCCTCCTCATCCTCTGCCAAGATCTCTGAAGTACGAGCTAAAGATCTTCACAATTTTGAGGAATATTTCTCTTTATAAAATCTGCTGATCCTTAGGAGATTTGGCTAGGCAACTCTATTTAAAAAGAAAAGCCTTTTCATCCTATCTCTGTTTAGATCTATTCTTCTTACAATTACACTTTGAAAACAAATACTTTAGTTTGTCTTGTTCTGCCATTTTCCAGAAAGAAATGTACTATAACATGTAAGTGTGACTCTAATGTAACACTACTATTTTTAAACAAACTTTTTACATGAAAAAAGTGCCATGTAAATGAGTTTACATCTATGTTAAAATACCAGATATAACTTGCACTGATACCATTTCTCCAGCTATTTTTGGAGTTGTCTTCAGAACCAGTCATAAGTTAATAGGAGAAATCAGTCTAATCATTACTTCACAGTGGTACCTTGGTTTTGCCTCCCCAAACTGCTTTACCATCCTGATCACCCATCTTTATTCTCCACTCTTGGATATGAATGACTTCTATTTGTTTCTGGACATCAAATCCACCCTCAAAGATAGAGCTTTTGCCACCACCGAGGACATCAAAAGGATGTGCCACAGAATCTGAAGAAAATTCCAAAAGGAGTTCCAAAAATATTTTGATTCATAGTAGCATTTTTAGATTAAGTATATATTCTCCCTCAATGAATACTGTAATGAAGACAACATTCATTTACTTGTACGTATAAGTTTTGGCATATTTGTTAAACGATTGGACTCAGTTATACTTGACATTTTAAAATCTAAAATAAGCCAGAGTAATTTGCTAGTCCATCCTTGTTGATATCTTTTGATTTTATATAACTTTCTTTTCTGAATATATTCCCTTTCCAGCAAACTATTTCTTAAATATATAAAGAAAAAAAAAGGAGTTTAGCAAACTAACACATCAGCCAAGTCTGACAATATATGCAATGCTCTCTGACCTCTTGCAAAGAAGGGACTATTTCCACCCATATTTTTAATAACTGGTTACTATGGAGATGATGGTTGGATTTTTCCCAAGCTTCAGAAAGATCCCTAAAGGGAAAAATTCAGCTAATTATCTACAAAAAAAAGTTACTCAGTTTTTATGGCAGGCTAAAGTCTAACTTAGGTTCTTATTTACTATAAATTGTTTTTAAAAAACCGTAAGAATACATTGTTTACAAATGTTATGAAAATTATCTTGAGCAAGATCTCTATGCTGAAGGTTTGATGTTTTTTTAATGAGAGGAGTTAAGACCTAGGGAAAAAGAGAAGGAGAGAAACAGTCTTTTTCTTATACCAAATTAAGTAATCTTCTCGGCTATAACAAAGAAAACACTGTTGGTTTATGGTATCTGAATGCGCAGACACGCACATACTCACATATAGAAATATAATGCACCTTACTTTACACAGTAAATATTTTCTTGGAAAATTTCGTGTAAATCAAATCACATTTCTCCATTGGTTTATAAGGTAAAGAAATTTTACTGTTTTACAAAGAAACTTTACTGTTTCACTTTGAATTTGAGTTGATAGTAGCTTAATTTAGTGTAAAGTTCTTGTACCCTACTGCCTCTAATAAGCAGCATATGATTTATAAGAAATTCTGAGTAGATTATCTTGTAAAGAATTAGCCCCTAATTTATCTGTTTCACAATTTTAGATTTTTTTGAATAGAGTATTTTATTATAGAGATATCTCCAATGCACAGTCTAAGTTCTCCCACTGTGACCTCTTAAGATCTGTACAAATCAAAACAGGTTTTGCTCATGTTCAAGCATTAAAGTTTCCATGTCTGACCAAAAAATCTACCTAAGAATTTTAAAAGGGTTGTAGCATTGCAAATATTTTTTATTTTCATTCCTCTCCAGGTTTCACTGCTGACTCATTTCTATAGGACTTTCTCTACCATGCCCACATTCCTACTTTCCAGATTCGTTTTATGTGTTGGCTTCCCCCACATCAGCTCCCCTACATATGCCACATAAGGGCAGGGACTGTTTCTGTGCCTAACTGTATTCTCCAGTGCTTAGTATAGAGCCTAGCACATAGCAAACATTTAACAAATACTTGTTGACTTCACTAAACAAATCTAAAGTCACCTTCACACTGGAGATTTTTAGTACCAAATGGGAAATAAGTTGAACAGAGTTAATTTTTTTTAAAAAGCCTATCTGAAACTAAGTCCATGCACAAATACAAAAATGTCATGGGTTTTATTTGGTTTTTTTTGGAGGAGACTAGATCTCTACCTCACCAAAGCTCCAAGTGCAGCTGGCACTCATGGATCAGATCCCACTGCCAATGGGCCCCAGGAGGGGAACTACTTCATTAGTACCAAATTTAGTCGGATGCCCAATCTGCTTTAGCCCAATTGCAGCATAGAACTCTTGAACTCAAGTGATTCACCAGCCTCAGCCTCTCCACTAGCAGGGACTACAGGTATCCACCTGTAGTAGATACATTGCCTGGTAAAATGTTCTGCTCTTAAAAAAAGGTCACATCAACCTTCTACACTGTTCCCAATGGCATTCATTTTAGCCATCTGAAAAAAGTTTGGGTGCCCCTTTTGTGCAGAGAGGCAGAGTGCTGTGGTAGACAGAAAGCCAGCCTCAAGTAAGGAAGACATGAGTTCAAATCCCACCTAGGACACATGCTGGCTGGTGACCATGGGCAAGTCAATGAACCTCTCAGTGTGCTAAGATACTCTCTGCGACTAAAAATTGCAGAGAAATTGCCAAACTGAATTGGGTGAAGGATGTTCCTCACCCAAGAGGTCAGGAAATGAATGAAATCACAGGTCCAGGCTGTATTCCAATGTCTACATGTGAGGGCTGTCTATAGGTTTGAAGAAACAAAAGGCAAAATACTGATATAACAAAGAGCACTGTTTCTTAAAAAAATAAAAGGGGGGGTACTTTCTTGTAGATGGCCTAAGCTTCTACACTTACTAAACACAGGCAACAAGGCTCACATTTTCCACACAGCTTCTTTCTGTTCTATCTTATAAAACATTAAAGATTTGAGGAAATAAATAATAGCAGTAAGAAAAAGGACCTATTATAGTTAAGTACTAGTAATAATAACAAATGCTATAGCTTTTAATAAGTCTTATAATCTGTAAATATAGTTTCATTTGAACTCTACAGATTTTACCTGACAAGTTTTGTCCTAAACTACCCAGGAAAATATTCATTGGTATTAGATTAGAATCAATTAAAATTTCATAATTCTTAGATAGAGTTAAATAACAGTAGAAAACCACAGTAATTACGATGTGACATGTCTCTAAACCTGCTGCTTAAGATTGCAACCAAAAGCAGCCAATCCCCATTTATGCAGAATGCATGGAGAACAGTATGTTCCATTTAGCTCACCAATATCATACTAGCTTAGTATAAGGGGGAAAAAGTCTTTTAACAAATAGAAATACCTAACATTGGAATAGGCTACCTTAGGAGGTAGTAATTTCTCTATCACTAAAGGTGTTTGTTGTTCAACCACTTGTTAGGCATGTGATAAGAGAATTTATTTTCAGGTATAGGTTCAACTTCTCAAAACCCCACTAACTATGGATTCTAGAAAACTTCTGAGTCCTCTCTAACCCAGATTCTGTGACACATATAACATACATGAACTGCTAATTTAAAAAATTAGAATAGAATACTTTTAATATTAAAAACTATAATTTAATCTCAGATTATTCAGAAGGCACTTGAAATATACAGTGCCTCAAAGATATCATTATAAATATTAAGAACACTGTATTTGGAATACTAAGTGGCTATTATACGAATACATCTGTCTTGGGTAGACTTGGATTCAGGGACTCAGAATCGGTTGAATAATCTTACCCCTAAATAGTTATTAATGAATCAATTTCAGCCTAGAAAGACTACTCTAGTGGAGGGTGACCCAAGGGTCTTTGGCCCTATGCTGTTTAACATTTTCATCCATGACTTGGACAAAAGTACAGATGACAGGCTTATCAAATCTGCAGATAACAGCCAAGCTGGATAGGACAGATTACAGAATCCAAAAATATTTTCACAAAAGTAGAATCTTGGGTTGGATTTAGCAGGATGAAATTCAAAAGGATTAAGTTAAAGTTCTACATATGGGAACAAAAGTTCAATTTCACAAAGATAAGAACAGAGAGGTGGGCCAGACAACATACAACAATTATCTAGGGGTTTTAGTGACTGCAAGTTCAACTAGTAAACAGTGTGACATGGCAGTCAAATGAATTACTGCAATTTTAGCTTTATTTAATAGAGAAGTAAAGGGTCTAGAACAATGCAAGATTGTCCTACTGCATTTTGCCCTGATCAGATCACCTCTGGAATATGTGGTTTTGTTCTGGGCACTCCATTTTATTTAGACCAATAGTCTGGAAAAGTACCTAAAGGATAGCAACAAAAATGAAGAAGGGTCTCATGACAGTGCAATGAGAAGACTGTTGAAAGAACTAAAGATGTTTAGCCTGAAGAAAAGACTTAAGAAGCATCGGATAACTATCAAGTATTTGAAGGACTTTGTGTCATATGGAGGAAAGGGACTCCTTGACCCTAGAGAGCAGACCTAGGTTGACTGAGCAAAAGTTTCAAAGAAGCAGATTTAGGCCTTATTATAGTATGTGTTTCAGGGGTGGGGATGGCATGAAGTCCTGCCTCATAGAGGCCTGAAAGCACATCTAGAGTCTACCTTACTCCCTCATGGAATACTCAAGTAAGAAAGTGAAGGTTTTACTTTGGGCAAAGGTGAATAGTATCAAGGAGAAAAGCCAAGGATCATACTGGCATCAGGGAACTAACTTCCCCCCTTTGCTTCTTCTAGTTGCTTTGCTCTTTTTGCTGCTGTGAGTTTGCACTGCTTTTCCTTTACTGTGTTTTGGCTCTGCTTCAATTCCTGTTCTGCTTTTTTTCTCTTGTTGCTTCTGCTGCCCATTTCAATATGGGTGGTTCAGTAGCTACTTCAATTCAGGGGTCTTGCTTTGAAGGGCTGTCATGTGGAAGAGGCAGCATGATGGAGAACAGATAGGGAGTATGATATAAAGAGCAGTGGCTTTGGACATAGGATAAAACCAACTCCTCCCATTAACTTTCCAAGAAGGAACTATTTAGTTGCAATTTCATTTTATCTTCTGATTTCATTGCCAATTTCACTCCTAACTTGCACTCTCCAGTCCTCTTTTCCTCCCTGAGGTCTCTAAGACCAGAGACTGAGTCCTACTATAGAAGTTCTACTTTTCTGCAGAAAGATCTTTATTAGTGAGCTCATGGAACTTAAACAAAAGAAATAAATTTATTACTTAAATGTTCTCCCCTCCAAAGGTATCATGCTTCGACAACACCTTAGTACTAATTATCTAACTTAATAACCATAATACAAGTAAATACTCCAAAAAGCAATTAGCAAAAGCATGACAAATTTCTGAACTCTTGTAGGAGTGGCATTTTATAACAGTGATTATTACCAGATAATCCTTGAGAATTATGAAGGAATATGTCTTAATAAACTCTAGTTGATGACTTACTTTTCACTTTCACCTAGCCATTTGGAGACAAGGTCAGAGGAAGATATTGAAAAAAATGTTGAGTTGTTGGCTTCTGTAGCAACTGCTTTGGCCAAGTAGGATTTCCCTGTTCCAGGTGGCCCAAAAAGAAGGATGCCTCTCCATGGGGTTCTTTTACCTAAAGTTTAGAGTAGAAAATATGAATTTTAAGACTGCTAATTTTGATACAGGATTATAACCAGATTCATTATTCAAAATTTAAACTCTGGTGGTAAACAATGCTATGGGATACATTTACAAACAAAAAAACCACTTTTGACCTGTGGGACACAGAAACCCTGCAGTGCCACAGCGTAAAAACACTGAGTCAAATCAGTCTTATACAGACACAAATTTGAACTATTTCACTTTTTATTTTTCAATACAGGATATCTTTTTTATTCCTTTCATCATCATTTTATAGATAGATATCATTCTTACTTACTTTAAGTTGTTTAGTGAATCACTTCCTGACTAAATATCAAGTGTAATGCATTTTACTAAGGTGTCATAGGGATATATCCCTTCTTAGGGGAAAAATATTTGGGTAATAAGTATATTTCTATGATTTCAATCACATGTGGTTTTGCTCAACTCTGGTTTCTAGGAAGACTATGTGTATAGAGAGTTAGGTTTATTGTTTAATACATAATTATATTAAATACCACTTGGAGAGAATGCAGAAATTAAGAATTTAGGCTTTAAAGCAAGCTTTACTGCTTAATATAAAAACTACCAAATTAATATTTTTGTTCATGTTTGCTTCACTATTTAAATGAAAATTGCCAATTTGCTTTTCTGGGTTAAATGAGTACTTAAAACACAAATAATCAAAAATTCATTAAAGATTATTATTTATGTAAAGGATTTGCAAAACTGAGGAAAACTGTAAAGCTATCTGGCAAAAACTGGGTCTAAAGCCACACATAATATGCTGCTGTAACTTGCTCAATTATCTAAAAAATCATTAAAATTAAAAGAATTTATCTTAACTGTGGAAAAGGGGAAATTCTCAAATAAATCAAGAATATATTATAAATACAAATACACATAAATACAAAGAATACAAAAATGCAAATAAATAAAATAAATATAAATAACATGTACAACTATAAAGATTAAAAAGATATTACATGAAAAAGATAACAATTTTAAAATATAAGGAAAAGAAAAAATTGGGGAAAATATTTGTGGTGAATAGATCTGATAAAGAGCATGACAACCAGGATTAATTTTTAAAATAAATATATTTACATATAAATATAATTAAGTGTTTATATGTATATATATGCATGAATGTAAGGATATGATACACATGAGAGAAATAAATACTCCTCACTTCCCAAATGGAGAACCGGTCAAAAAACATGAATCCTTTTTGAAGGAGGAAATAAAATTAACAACCACATGACAGCTGTTTATTTTCAGTAATAATTAAAGAAATGAAAATCAAAAATCTCAAAGATGGTACTTCATATCTATCAAGAAGCAAAAACAGAAAAAAATGATAAATAATTTTTAGCAAGGAAGGATGAGTACTTTTGCACTATTGTTGGGATAGGCAAACTTTCAGAAAATAATTTGGAAATATGCAATGAACCATAATACTGATCATACCTTTTGACAATGTGATCTCTTTTCTGGGACTATATGCTAAAGATATCAATAAGGGGAAAAGAAGAACTATCTGCACAAATAATATTTATTATTGCTTAATTTTTAATATTAAAAAACTGGAAAACATTCCCAATGACCAAGGAATGGTTAAATTATAACACATTGAGATAGAATGTCATGCTGTAAAAAACGACAAATACAAAGATACGGAAAGTACTGTGCAAGCTGATGCAAAGCAATTACGAGCAATTTTTTTTTAAATCGGCCAAAACAAAAAAACAAGTTCTGATATTCTGTAAGTTCCAGAATGTCCAGAATGCAGAAATGTCCAGAAGGCAGAAATGAGTTGGTAAGCTCACCTGTAAAGAGATGTGGAAACTTAATGGGCAATATCACAGCTTCTTTAAGAGCTTCTTTGGCTCCTTCAAGACCAGCAACATCACTCCATTTTACGTTTGGTCGTTCTATAACAATGGCACCTAAAATAGCAATTATGTTATAAATCAAATTAAGAAAGACTATGATCTCATTTAATTTAAAAGCTGATAACCTGAGACCCTCCACCAAAGTACTACTCCAATTCCTCACTATGAGTGTGGAGGTAACAGGCTCGTGGAACATAAAACTGTCTACGTGCAAACTCTAGTAATTTTACCAAGGAGGGAAGGCTTGGCAATATGGGCTCTTTGATGAAATGCCAGCTGAGGACTATCCTAGCTAAATCCTGACAGGCTCATAATAGGTTATCAGCAAGGTGATGTATTTTTTGGCCACAGAAAATATTGAAAGCTGTTTAAGTCACAGCAATTGCAACCTTCATTACTGAAGGGAATATACAAAATCACAGATCCCTGAGATAATAAAGTGTGGAATGGAAAAACTGAAAATGTGCATTATAAAACTACCTAGAAAGGCTAGAAATGTTATTTGATAAATAATGTGACAAAGTGAAAGACTGGACTTATGAGTGAGGAGACTTGGGTTTTGTCCTCACTTGATAACAATTAGCTGTGTAAATGAGAAAGTCACTTAATCTGCCTATGTCTCAGTTTCTTCAAAGATATGATAGTATAATATAATAATAGCTTGTAATTCTACAGTGCTTTAAAGACTACAAGGCACAGCAGAGAAACAGTATAACCTACAAGTTGTTTTTTTTTGTTTTGGTTTAGTTTTTTTGGCCCAGACCAGTCATTAGTGTAAGGCAGACGTGTCAAAGACTTCAATAAAAGACAGATAATGTTAACGTGTGGTTTTCTAAATCACATTAGGCCTGAGGAGATCCTTTCTATTTGAGTTGGATACCACAGATGTACGAAATTCTCCTAAGAAATTCTCTGTATCAGAGCAATCAGCAACTGTTCTCTAATCAAAGTATAATCTTAGACAATTGTCCAGGACACCTAAGAGGCTGGGTTTTGGGACATCCTCACACACAGAAAATAACCAGATCGTCTCCAGTGCAAAGGGATTTAAAGAACTGTTTTGTTGAAGGAAGAGAAACAGAAAGAAAACATTCTCTATAAAGGGAGGCATTGTTATAAAAGTTAGACCTACATATAGACTGCAAATAAAAATGGAAAACAGAACTGTTATCAGCAATATTTTTACCTATTTTTCAAATTTAATTTTCACCCAAATGCCAACTTTATGTCCTTATTTATTAAATCAGTAGTTTAAAGTATTTTTCTTCAGAGGAGCAAAAATTAGGCTAGAATATATTAACTGGTAAGGCATGAAAAAAAGAAAATGTAGTTTCCATTTCTTCCAAAAGTGAAGACATCAGTTTCTGTAAATGTCTACTTCATGAGAAATAATACCATAAAATAAAGAAATGGAAAATGTTTTGCCACTAATATAGAGCCATAGTAGAGCACTGGACTCGGAGTCAGGACACCCAAGTTTGGGTCCTGGGTCACTAGCTGTGTGACTCTCAGAGAACTACTTAAATCTTTCTGAGAAGTCTCACCAAACATAAAATAAAAGGGTTTGGAATAGAAGAGTTTTCAGGTCCTTTCATTCTCTAACATTATGGGATAATTAAATTCTATGTCACATGGTACTGACTGTCCATATTTAGTAAATGCATAATCATTACAGGAGTGACTTGCTTCTAAGTACTATTTTGCTGCTGTCATTTTTAGCTGTGTCTGACTCTTCGTGACCCCATCTGGGATTGACTTGGCAAAGACACTAAAGTGGTTTGCTATTTCCTTTTTTAGCTCATTTTATACATGAGGAAACTGAGGCAAACAGGATTAAGTGCCTTGCCCAGGGCCACACAGCTACCAAGTGTCTAAGGCCAGATTTGAACTCCAGAAGATGAGTCTTCCTGACTCCAGGCCTGGCACTCTATCCATTGAGCCACCTAGCTGCCCAAGTCGCATTTACATTACCTGCAACATCTTTGGGATATAGAAAACAAACACTATCCTCATTTGTAAAAATAAGCCATGAAGGTTACAATGTCTTGCAGATCCTACAGATAGCAATAGTCAAGACTGAATCACTGATTTAAGAAGATAATTAAAGATTTTTATAGGAATAGAAGGTAAGATGAAGAAGGGCTAAGGAGAAAAATATCTGTGGGTATTTTATAAAGTGATAAACTATTTGCAAATTATTTACGAAGGTAAGTAGAGATTAAGAAGAATAAGGCTGCAGCAAAAGAAACTATGGCAATAATCAGAATAAAGTTATTTTTAATTTGTTCTGCCACTGGGCCTTTATACCTAACGGCTGAAACCTCCTTTACATTTTGCCTATTCCTATTAGAACGTAAAGTCCTTGACAGCAAAAACTGTGTTGCTTTTTCATTTGAATCCCCAGGGCTTAGCACAGCGCTTCTCACATAAAAAGCACTTTTTTTTTCATTTTGCCCAAATAATGGTTTATCTATTCCTTTTAATTGTCTGCTAAAATAGTAAGACTCATAATCTTTTATTTATAATCACTAGGTACATTGTCACAGCAGTAATATGTTTGAAGTATTTATCTCTAATCCACCTGACTGAATTTTGCATCATTAATGTCCACATAAGAGTTACAGATCTCTGACAGATTTTTAATTTAGCTAATACAGAGTCAAGGCAGAAAATAAAAAAGAAAATAACTGTAAGTCTATCACTTACTGGGGAAACAAAAAAACAATTGTTGTTATGTGAAAAGCCCCATCAATAGTTATCAGAGGGGGAGATTCCTTTTTAATGTTCTAAATCAAAACATTTGCAGATCATTTTGATACCAATCTCATTAATACTTATAGAATTTTGGCTCTTGAATCTCATTCAAATGTATCATTTAAATTTGCCAGTTAATTATGGATTTATTTTTAAAATGCAACAAATTTAAGTGGGAATTCTAAAGAAACCTTGAAGTTGATTCTGCAGTTTCTTTTTTTCTGGATCATCTGATTCTCCATCCCCATCACTGTCATTCCTAATAAAAAGAATTAAATAAAATGATCATTCACTGATAGAATATAAAATAAGACAGATATCAGTAATAAGTAGAAAACTCAAATTTTAGATGCTTACAATTTTAAGGGGGAAATTTCAAAATATGTATATTATTCATTAAATGCTGAAAGTAGTTTGTCATTTTGTGTTAACAGATTAAAATAAAAAGTATCAAAACATCAAATCCATTATATATATATATATATGTATATATATATATATATATATATATATATATATATATTATATATATTGTCAAATGATCAATCTTGAATGAAAAAGAAAAGATTTAAGAAACCCTGAACCAGAGCTCCAAATTCTAGTTAATTGTCTTTCACATATAGCTTATTAGACAACAAACTTTGGTTTGCTTAATTTACCTTAACAGACTACTAATTTACTATTGACTTATAAAATAATTTTATTTTTTATAAAGTTACAAAAATATATTAAAAAAACATAATTTATTTTACAGTTAGAAAATATTAGAAAAGCATTTAATCTTTTCTCTGAAAACGTTTCAAGGATTTTTTAAAATACTCTGTTGTTTGTTCTATCTTTATAGTTTAAATATAAAGAATAATTGTTAATACTTATTTCATAAAAAAAGCTTCCTTTTCTTTTTTTTTAAGAGGGCAAAAGAACTAGAATATATATTGTTTCTTCTTGTTTTTCTGTACTTGTACACTAACTCCAATTTACTCAAAAATAAACTTTAAGACTTCAAAACTTTTAAAGACTTTTAACTTTTAAAAGAAGAAATTTATATATGCCATAAAGCATTTTATAAAAAAACAAAACAAAACAATCTGAGGCCTTTTACATTTATATAATACAAAATCTGAAACTATAGGGAAAAATCAATTATTTTTAAAAATTCAATTAAAATATTTATTAAGCTCCAACTGTACATGGCATAATGATGTATTCAGGAGACAAAATAATGATGAAAAATTATATTTTCTAATCTGTATCCAGAGAAAGAACTGATAAAAAGATGTATAGAATGATTTTATGTATGTGTGTGTGTATATACATGCATACACACATATTTATGTCTAATGGTAGCCATCTTTAGACAAGTGGAGAGAGGAAGGGGAAAAAAGTTACATAATAACTTTATTATTATTTAACAGGAATAGCAAATTGTACATGATAGACTTGCAGTTTCATGTGCAATCACCTTTTTTTTCTATTCTAATACATTATGGAAATGCTTGTTTTATTTCTTAAGTTAAGAATAAATAAATAAAATTTTTAATAAGAAAGAAAAAGGATAGTTTCTATCATCCTCAAGGAGCTTATAATCTGGAACTTAAAATCTAGTAAGCATGTACATAAATAACCATAAAACAAGTCAAAAAATTAGTAAATACATACGAGATAATTTTCTATGAATTTTTTTCCCTCCTGTAAACTATGAGGATGGGCCAAGTAACAATTTATTTATTTGCAGTTTAAGAGCTCAAATATGACTAATTTAATATATACCACTCAGCACAGTAATGTCAAGGTCTATATTTTTGTTGCAAGTGATATAATACTGATCTTTTAAACTGGAACTTAACAACTAAAAGATAAAGACGAGAGATCATTTTCTCAGTGAACTTCATGATTCTTTTTAAAGTCCACTAGTGATGACAGCAGAGGAAACCGGTCCCAGGCAACTACTAGAAAACATGGTAACCGTGAAAATTAATGGTTCCATTTGTGGAAGCTACCACTCCTTTTCTCCAGTTTATTTAAGGAAGATTTTTGTTTTATCACTACCTAAGATTTTAATGGTTTTAAACAAATAATTTTTATCTTGCGTACTCGATCCAGAAAATAAAGGTTTTAATAGCTGCCTACAAGACGTACCCCTTCTCATCAGTTGGGCTGGATTGTCCCTCTTTCACTGGCTTCTGTGAGGCTTTCTCTTTCTTTTTCAGGTATTCTTTTAGTTTCTCGGCTCTATCAAGATATTCTGTACACTTTGCCCTGATACTTTGCTTTGCTTTGTCACCTTGTGCTTCATCTAATTAAAAAGAGAGAGAGAGAGATTCTTTGTTAACAACTTAAGTAGAAGATTAAGTGAACATTTACCTGTGTTTTCTGCTCTGACATTTCGAAGAATTCAGGATTTCAATGGCGTGGGTACACTCTCCATGCCTTAGACCTTAATCCTTGTAAATACTTTTCTTTTTACTTTGTGACTTTTATTCACATTTTTCCAAAAGAATCTGTCCAATGTGGCGTAGAGCTTTTACTTAGTACCTTGGAGATAACAATGTTCTATCCAAGCTGACTATCCAACCATACTTTTTAAATTATGAAAATAGCATTTGGGGATCTGAAAGATTGTCTCTACCTCAGCCAATGAATTAAACTAAATTAAAGTCTTTTCTTTAAAAAAAAAATAAAGATGGGTACAAGACACCAATGGAGTACTTAAATCACTGTGACTGAGTTTATGTATAAATATATAATACGTATATAAAAATCAAGTGTGTAAGTTTACTTATCTAGTGTCTATATAATATATACCTTTTCTCCATTTAGAGGAGATAATCAACAGCTCCCTGTTCCCAATAAAACCACTTATGAATAAGATAAATGAAAATCACGAGATATTAACCATTTCTCTTATATCCAAAATCTTTACTGATAACAATTACTACATAAGCATTAAAGATAAATCTTACATCTATCACCTTTACAACAAAAAAGCACTAGTATAATTTTGAAATGTGAATGACAGAAATACATACTGTACACTAAACTGGCCAGACACAAAACTTCCTGAAAAAATAGTACACATTAAAATTAATCTTTCATCTATCAGCTTTGTAACAAAGTGAAAACTGGAGTTTAAAAGTTTATATAATACAAACACTCATTTGTTGGATTTACAAGTAATTGGCATTTACCAACAATTCTTAATTCACAAAGTTCTTATTCCACCTATTTTTGAAGGAAATTCCTTCTAAATACATAGGTACTGTATTTCCAAATTTTCGTATTTCCAAATGTCCATTTTTCCATATTTCCAAACATTCTTAGAAAAAATTTAAAAGTTCATATAATAAAACTCATCTGAGTTAGCAGCTTAATTTTCAAAAATTATATATACCAATTCCATGAAATTTAAACACACTACCACTCACACATCAAATACTATATTGTAGATGTGTTTGTTACCTAAGCTTGAGCGCTCAATATTGGCTCAGATGATACAAATTTTCAATTTAATTAAAAAACATGCAGAGCATTAAACTGGGCTCTGAGGATATACAAAGTTTAGATAAAATACAATCTCTGCTTTCATGGAAGATGTATATGACAACGTGCTCATACTTCAAAACAGAAATAACTGTAATATATGATTATATATATATATAGATATATCTATATATATCTATATATAGATATATCTATATATCTCTTAGAAAGATAAAAGTGCTACATGTAATCTCTAAGAGGTAGAAGAGTACTACTGATTGGAGAATAAAGTGTGATTTCATGAAAGAGACAGTATTTGAATTGAGCTTTAAAACATGGATAGGAATAAAATGGGGAATGGGGACAGGGTAGGGGAGACCTCAGGCATGAAAACAGTACAGACAAGGGTGTGGAGACAAAGCACAGGGAAAGTTGAGGGCAGTGATGTATAGCCAAGAGTGTTAAGAGTTGGAGCCAGGGAAAGACCTGGGGTCCAAGGATCAATTCTGACAATTAGGAGCCACATGATTATGGGCAAGTTACTTCATCTCTATAAGTCTCAGTTTCCTTATCTGTAAAATAAAGAAAATATTACCTACAGACCTATTTACTAGACTGCTGTTAGAATGAAGTAAGATAATTTATGCCAAACAGTTTCTTTACTAACTTTAAAATGCTTTATGTTAGGTAAAATTAATCTTATATAGGGGAAAGCCAATGAGTAGTCATTTCAGCTAGAGAGAATAGTTAAGTCTGGAAAGGTAGGGTGATGGAATGGAAGCCTGCTGATGCCAGGCAGAGAAGTTTAAACTTTACTTAACAGGCAAGAACTAGTGAAGATTTCTGAGTAAAAGGAATGACAAAACATGCATATCTGGTAATAGCAAGTCCTGAAGACCATCTGCAAAAGCATAGAGGGGACTGTGATATGCATTAATGGAGAGAGTATCCACAACGATGCAATCAAAGATCCCTGAAGTATTATAGTATCTTTCTTTTGTTTTTAAGAAAAGTTAAAGAAAAAAATGATTAACTGGCGAAATCTTACATTTAACTACATGGAGAAAATACTGTACAGCATTTTGATATAGATTGAAGGCTTCTTCATAGTTCCCTGCTTTATCTTCTTGTGCTGCTTTGCTAGCAAGGTCTATTGCTTTCTGCAAGAAGACACATATAACCAAGTAATGAAAAACAAAGTAGGATGATTATAATGTAAGCAATATAAAGTCAAATCGATTTGGAAAATCTTCCATAAAACGGTCAAATTATCTTAAAACAAACCAAATTCTATTCATGTTTTCTAAAATCCAACTGTTTTAGTTCAGTGAAACAAAACTAGTAACAAATTACAAATACCATCTAAATATAATACTTATCTCATAGCTATCATGAATATTTCTACACATATTTAATTCAAAAAACAAATCTTGGGTTCTTTCAAAATCACCCAATATCAAAGAACAATTCTAAAAAAATACAAAAAGCAAATACTGTTCAATTTAAAGTATAGCAGCCAAGAATTAAGCTTTCAATTTGAAGTAATAAAACCAAACTCCATAAAAAACAGTAAGAATTCAAATATTACAAGAGAAAGGAAAAAGATAAATTAGACAAATAGGGGGGAAAAACCATGTTTATACCTACTGTAAACAAACTAAATGTTATCTACTGCAAGAACCACCATCCATTATTGGGTAATATTCTCTTTATTTTCTTCACTGTTAACTAAACAGGAACCCATTCCATCAATAATTGTAAATGTTTGGAGTAACTGACTAATTAGCAGTTATAAGTGACATCACCTCTCTGGGCCTAAGTTTGGGTAACCTATGAAATGAAGGGGTCAGATTAGATTTTTTTGAGATCTGAAATATCATTAATTTTCATAATTTTTTATGGTATCCAGTAAAACCCAAATATTTTCTGCAATATGTTACAGCAGAATCAGAGAATTTCAGAGGTGGGCAGAACCTTATAGATCATGTGGGCCAATCACTTCTTTTCACAGATACTCAGATCCACAGAGGTGAACTGATATTTGTCCACTTTCACAGAGGAAATTAGTTGCATCAGGAGGACTCATATCCAGGTCTCCATAAATCTAACTTCAAGGTTTGAAATTCCCATTGTGTTGGCAAAGTTAATACAAGAATTTGTTTCCTTCATTTCAAACAATGAAAATCCAATTAAAAAAAACAAGAGGGAAAACAGACTGAACAAGTACCACTTAACACTTCTACCAATAAAGCAAGGATCTGTGATTGTCAGGTTGGGGATTCCCTTTACCAGTCCAGAAATTTTTTCTAAAGAGGCTCAGAGAAATGAGACTGCCTCATCAAATAGTGTCAGAGGTGAGATGTAAACCCACACCTTCCTGACTCTAGCATTCTATACAACACTGTCTCTAGCTGTTAATAGATAAGGAAAAATTGATTCCAAGTCAGTAACTTTATGGAATCAACTGAAAGGATTTTTCAGGCCAATTGTTGGGCAACAATTGTTAGACAACTGTTATGCTGTTAAAGTTGGTTTTAAAAGAACATTTAAAATCAAGCAGATAGAGTTGTACAGTCTAAAGGAAAAAATGCATGTGTTTCTTTAGTCAAACTTATGCAAACTTCCTTGTGCTTATAATCAAAATTGTATTTCTGTTTTTCACATTTGGGAATACCATAAATATAGGCAAGATACTCTGTATTACTAATATCAATAAAACAATTATATATACATCATTTGCTTGTATGCAGGTAAATATAAGCTACCTAATGGCTGGAATGATGCTCTACTCTAAAAGGTGTGTGTAAGTCCTGTCCAGCTGGAGCTATATAAACACACATCAGGTTATAAACCAGGTTGTCACATATATTCATAAGAAACCAAAAGCCAGTTCTAATCCAAAAAGTCCAGGAAACTGGATCTTAAGGACTAACCAGAGGGGTCCTGATCTAATTTAAAGGGAGGGGCCAAAAGCCAGTGAAATCTACCTCCCCAAATTGACACTTAAGTTTATGAGTACCACTGCTTTTCAATACCCTGATACTCTACTGTAAGAGCCAAACCTGAAAAGTTTCTCTCATTCTCTCCCTCCCCCTCTCTCCCCTCTTTCTTCTCTTCCTTCTCTCCCTATCCCTCCCCCCATCTCTCTCTCTTCCTGTCAGTCTTTCCCTCTCCCCTCCCATTTCTCTCCCTTCCTGTCTATCTTTCTCTCCCTCCTCACCCCAACATCTTCCATGGGATGGTGGGAGGAGTCCTCAAAGATCTGGGGAGCCTGGAGACCTGAGTTGTTTTTGTTCTGCTAAGGCAATTGGGGTTAAGTGACTTGCCCAGAGTCACACAGCTACAAAGTATTATGTGTCTGAGACTGGATTTGAACTCAGGTCCTCTATCCACTGCGCCCCCTAGGTGCCCCAAGACCTGAGCTTTTGCCCTGACTTTTCCAACCCCAGCTGTTGAGCTTTGGGCAAGTCATTCCTCTGGGCCGGTTTCCTCATCAGTAAAACGGAGTCCCTAGTGGCTGATGGCCAGACCTCCCCCCCCCACTCCAGTACCAAACGAGGGCTGGGCTCTCGAAGCCCACAATTAGATTAGCAGCTTTTTTTTTTAAGGCAATGGGGATTAAGTGACTTGCTCAGGGTCACACAGCTAGTAAGTGTGAAGTCTTTGGCTTGAGGCTGGATTTGAACTCAGGTCCTCCTGACTCCAGGGCCGATGCTCTATCCACTGTGCCACCTAGCTGCCCCTAGATTAGCTGCTTCCTGAGGGCAGGGGCCGGTTTTATTTATTATTGTTACTTTGCCTTTCTGCGCATCCCCGGAGCTCAGCACCTGGCACCACAGGTGGGCTTCTGGTCCACTAGGCCCGGGCTGCGGAGGCCCCCGAGTCCCACACAACGGCCCCCAGCACCGACCACAGCCCCAAACAACCCCTCCTCCTCCTCCCCCTCCCCTTCCCCCCGCCCCGGGCTCGCGCCCCGCCCCTTCCCTCCCCTCCCCCAATCCCGCCTCGTGACCTCGTGACCTCGCGCCCCCTGGAGAGCCGGGGCGGGGGTCCGGGTACCTGGAGATTGATAGATGCCATGGCGGCGGGAGGAGTCCACAGCCAGGGAAGAAGGGTGGAAGGCGAGAAGCCACAACGGCGTCGGGTCCGCCGCGGGTATAGAGGCCGGACAGCGCCTCTCAGCTCCCGCGAAGACGGTATCTCTTCCGGTCCTTCTCCGGCAGCTTCCAAGGGTCCCGCGGGACCCCTCCCCCCAACCTTCCTCACTACTTCCTCAAACCCAACCCCCCCAATCGAGTTACTGTCCCGCCCCCACTCAGTAGGCACTTCCTTCTACGTCACCCGCAGCGCGCCGTGACGTCAGCATCCCGTTCCTGCTTGGGAATGCCTGGCCCAGTTCAGGAGGCGGGGCTGTCCGGTCCTCCATAGGGTTAGGTGGGGAGAGTCCGAAGGGAGGGAATAAGAGCGCAGGCGCACTCAGATGACTGGTGGGAAGGGCCGGAGTGGAGGCTGCTTCCCCCCTCCCTCTTGAATACCTTGCACAGTACTCAGTAGGTATTTAATGAATGCACACTTGTAGGAGCTTAGTGGGGTTTAAAAGGTAGAACCGTGGGGCTTCGCCTAGGGTTTCGATTAGTCAGTGGCTCCTGGGCGCAGAAGCAACCCTGGTTATTTTAATCAGACAACTTATCTTGCCCGAGTCATTTAAGCTTCCCTGGGTGGAAGGGCGTGAGCTGTGGAGAACGGCAGGAATGAGGATGTGTGCACCAGCAGAGGAGTAAAGTTTCAGGGTTTTGTTACTGCCTGGACTTGTGACATCCTTCATACACAGAGCGATAACTGGGCAATACTTTATTGTCTTAGAGTGACCTGAGGCATTCCTAGTATGTTGTCAGGGGTAGGACTTGAACCCAGTACTTTATGACTACTTACCACTATACCATATCGCCTCCCAAGAGTCACATACTTAGGTCCAAGTAGCATTTTGGGTAGAATTAAATTTGTTATATTTCTGTAATTTACAGTGATTCCAAGAATCAAGATGATTACAGACCATATTGGCTTGAACTTCAATGTTTGTGAATCTGGAAGTCACTTTTAACCAAAATAATCGTCATTGCCCAAGTGATAAAACTGACAGGAGTAAAGCATGAGGTGACCTAGGGGTGAGGAAGATTATAATCATTGCATGTCTCTAATATGGACTTAGCATGATGAAAAGAATGCTCAACTTGGAGTCGTAAGGAACTTTGATTCAAAGTCTGCTTGTTATTAGTTGCTGTATTATGAGCAAATAACTTAATATCCCCAAATTTCATCTTTAAAGTGGGGATAATAATTATAGTACTTTACAGGGTTGTTGTGAGGATCAAATGACATAGTTTAAGTAAAATCTTTATTGAACTTTAAAATCATTATATAAATGTCAGTTTTCCAGATCATTATTTGATTTCCCAATCATTTGAGCTCTTCTCAATAGAATGTAAATTCTATGAGTTAATGAATGAATGAATGAATGAAAAAACGTCGAGCTTACTATGTGCAATGAACTGCTAAGTGCTGGGGATACAAATAGATACAAATAGTCTGATCTCAAGGAGTTTACCTGCTAAGGGGAGAAAGCGTATAGAAAAGTTCTATGGCACATCACATGGAAAGGCCCAGTGATTCTTCAGTCACAAAACAGAGTAAAATACATCCTGTCTTTTTGTGGTTGAATTTGACAGGCCAGGGATTTGTGTCGTGAGCATTTTCTTTTCTGAGTTCCTTGCAGTGGGTACATCATCAGTCTCAAAGCTTTTGAGAGGCCCATTTTGAGAGGCCCATCTCCACAAGACTTGCTTACCTGGATGATGGCTCTGAGAGCCAAGCTGTAATCAGGGCTGGTTTTCTGGGGGGGGCCACTCAGGGCTCCTAGGTTTAGGTACTCATTAAAGGTAATTAACTAGTTGTTGGTAGTAGTCACTCCTGGAGGGGAGAAACTGTTCCTTTTTTCCTCCCCTCTTTGTTATCCTTAGTACCCTAGGAGGGCATCAGTATCGGGAAAAATGGTTGGTGCTTAATAAATGCTTGTTGCATTGCATTATTTTGAATCCCTGTTTTATAGGTGAGAAAACTCAGGTTCAAAGACATTAACTGCCTTTTCCAAGGCAATGCAAGAGGCCAGTGGCAAGGCTATTGATTCTGCTACTCTTTTAAATGCTTTTCCTCCATAGCTCAGAAGTTCAAAAGACTATTCCGTATTTCTAGTTTTTAATACCTTGGAATCTTTCAAAGTTCATAAATTACTTCTAAGGCACTAAAACCCTAATCGTTTTTCCAGTATTAACTCCTTGACCTTTTTTGTAGTATTTAACACTCTTAATCAAGGCCCCTTGGAGCTCGACTTCTATGACATTATACTGCTGCCTTCTACCACGGATCTAATTGTTATCTCTACCTCTATTATCTGCATTAGTCTAGTTGGTTCCTACCTTTAAATATCCAGTCCCAGTCTCCTCAATCCCCTGAGCTTCAGTCCCTCAACTGCTTATTAGAGATTTCAAACTTGATGTCTTGGAGACATCTCAAGCTCAGCATATGCAAAACATCACTCCTCCTTCCTGCCCCACCCTTTAGCCAAACTTTCCAATTTCTGTCAAAGCCAGTACCATTCTTCTAGACCCCAGGTTGTAACCTTAATATGAGACTCTAGGAGGGATAGATAAGATCAAATCTCTTCCTTCAGTCCACCCAGGGAGATAGGACCTTAGACAATAATTATAATATGAGGTTAGAAATGTCCCACAAAAAATTAAAAATGTGGCACAAGTCAAGATTACAAATTTGGATTTGAGTGTTATCTATGTGGAGTCATAACTGAAGCTTTAGTAGGGTCTGAACTAAGTTGGTGGTTGTGTGAGTACAGAGGAAGAGTTGGATATGAAGGATGTTATAGAAAGAGCAAGAATTAGCACCTGGTAGGATATATAGAGTCAGGTAGAATAAGGAGAAGAGCCTGTTAACATGAAAATTGCTTGTGACAAAGAAACACAGGAATTTATATCACAGATCTTTGTGGACATAGCCCAAGTTTGTTGTTAACTTTAGAAAGTATTCCAAGTTGAACTTAAATTTGTGTGGGACAGCGACCCTAACCCAAATTGAACTCAGAGACTTCTCAAGGTGGAAAGCAAAGGTTACCTTTATTACAGTCTCTGGAAACAGCTGTCTGCTCCTTCAATACACCTAGGACAGAGAGACTGGTATGCAACAGGAGCTGCCTTATAAACCCTAATGCAAACAAGTCCCCACCTACCACTATCCCTTATTCCCCTTATCTGGGGGGGTGGGCTTACATTCTAAGCTCGAATTTCAAAGACAAGGAAATGGGGTATAGCCAATCCAAGCACACATACTACCATTCAGTGAACCTGATGCTGGCGTATCAAGAGGGGGCGAGGGGTTTAGGGTCAAATTCCCAAGAGCTAGGCAATTCCTAGGAAACTGAAATCCTCCCCAATCCCCCCTTTCTTCCCTATCCCAGAGAGGAGAAAAGAGGCAGGAAGCGAAGGGCAAATGGCTCAGATTGGGGGGGGCAGGGCTTATTCTTTCTGTTCCGAGCTTAAAAACAGGGTCTGAGTGGGGAAGGATTTTGAAAGAATGATCAAGAATTATGGACCTTTTGAGGAGGTTTCACTTCTGAGAGTTCATCTCTCACAGCATCTTCCTCTTAAAAACCTAACTTCTCTATTTCTGATAATGGTACCAGCACTCTGAGAGTTCTTCCTTGAACCTCACCTCCTATATCCATTCAGTGGCTGAGAAAACTGTCCATTCTGTTTCAGAAATCTCTCTTACTTGGGTGGCCCTCTTTCCATACTCACTGTATGATCCCATTTCAGTTTCTCACTAATTCTGACTTGGCTATTTAAATAATTTCCTAATATCTCCCTATCTCCAGTCATTTTCCTTTCTGATCTATTCTTTATATGGCCACCAAATTAGTCAATCAGCAAACACTTAATTATCACGAGGAGGTGAAAAGATAGAAACAAACCATTGGCCCTCCCCCCAAAATTTACAGCCTAACACAGGAGACAACATCCTTATATAGGTGTATTCTAAACACAGACAAAAAAAGTACAGTATAACCTTAGGAGAAGCATTAGCAGCTGGGAAAATGAGGAAAGGCTTCACGTAGGAAAGGGGTACTTGATCTGAGTCTTTATGGAAACTAGAAAACCCCAGCTAAATTAGAATATCTGCTGTTCCTTGACTATGACTCTCACTTCCCTAGCTGTTTGCCTTTGCTCATTCTGTACCTTTTGCTTAGAATACCCTTCTCCTTGGAATTCCCATAGTATTTTTTTTAACCTCTGATTGCAATATCATATCCTACTTTGCATTCTAGTTATGCTTGGAAATATAAAACTATTAGCTTTTTAATGCCATGTCCTTTTTTTTCAATTTAATTAAAAACCAACATTAAGTGCTTTCTATGTGCAAAGCAGGGGATTTAAAGATGAAAACAAAGGTGCCCTTGAGGAGTTTGCCTTCTGCCAGAAAGAGACACTTGCAAGTAGTTCAATATAAGATAATTTGAGGGGAAAGCACTCAAACCTGGGGGGAATCAATACCATAGAATTATTTAGAAACTGGAAGGTACCTCGGCAGCCATCTGACCCAACTCCTTCCCGAAAGGAATAACATACCTAACAAGTAGTTGTTCAGTCGGTCTGAAGATTTCCAGTGAGGGGCAGGGAGGTGGCCCTGGAGTTAGCAGGACCTGAGTTCAAATCCAGTCTCAGACACTTGACACTAGCTGTGTGACCCTAGGCAAGTCGCTTAACCCCAGTTGCCACACCTAAATAAATAAACAAACAAATAAATAAAAAGAAAAAAAAGACTTCCAAATGATGGGAAGCCTACCTTCTCCTAAGATGGCCCATTTGACTTCTGTACAATTGTTAGGAAGTTTTGGTTTTTTGGTGTTTTTTTTTCCTGATAAGCCTAAATTGGCCTCTTTACAACTTCCATCCGTTGCTCTTGGTTCTTTCTACCCTTTAGGATCAAACACAAGTCTAATACCCTTTCTGCATGACAGTGCTTCAAGTTCTGGAAGACTGCTATCATCTTCCCTCCGAGTATTCTCCAAGCTAAGCACCCCTATTTCCTTTATTATATTCTCAGTGCC